GCACTGTCGGAGGGTCAGTGCTGAGGGAGTGTGCACTGTCGGAGGGTCAGTGCTAAGGGAGCGCCGCACTGTCGGGGCGTCAGTGCTGAGGGAGTGGGCACTGTTGGAGGGTCAGTGCTGAGGGAGTGCCGCACTGTCGGGGGGTCAGCGCTGAGGGAGCGCCGCACTGTCGGAGGGTCAGTGCTGAGGGAGTGGGCACTGTCGGAGGGTCAGTGCTGAGGGAGCACTGTGCACCCTGCTTTCTCTGTGTGTCCTATATTACACAGTGGGATGCTTGGCAATGTGCTGATTGGTTGTGATGGCCGTTGTGACCAACCTGTGGTGTTGAAAGGTGCTACAGGAATGCACAGCTCCCTTTCCATGTATTCCCAGGTTCTCCCCGCCTTCCTTCCCCCTCCTACACCTATCCACCTCCCTCAGTGGTTTACACCAATGCTGTCAGATCTCTCCCTTCCTCCCTGTGTCTCCCAGATTTCCATGCGGTGTCTGGATTCGGAATCTCACCAGGATGCGGCAAAAGGATTTGTACTCCAGGTAGGTGAGGTGCTCGGCCAGCTCCAGTGGCCCGAGGTGATCGAACAGGAGGGACATCTTCCTGCGTTTCTGGGTGACATTGTTCCGCTGGGTGATTTGCCTCTTCCACTCGAAGGAGGGTCTGCGACAGCACAGCAACCACAGCACGGTGAGCGTAACGGAGAACGTGCGCACGCATGTGCGCGCCGGGATCGCTCAGGGAAGAAAACGGGGGAACACACGCGCGCAACGCAGGAGGACCCACGGGGTATAACAGGAATCAGGCCGGGGAACCGCGGGGAAGACCCAGGCAACACGCAGAGAACAGGAGGGTCATGTCGGAACGCACGGGGAAAGCAGGACCCGTGAATCATCAAACCCCTACAGTTTGGAGGCAGGCCATTCAGCCCACTGAGTCCTCACCAACCCTCTGTAATGCATCCCCTACCCTTACCCTGTAACCCTGCATTTTCCACTGCCAATCCACCCTAACCTACACATCCCTGGGCACTATGGGACAATTTAGCACGGCCAATCCACCCT